TTTTAAAAATGGGAAAAAAAATACCATGGGGAAAAGAAAGGCGGCCTTGACCTCTAGTATCTGGCTTGATACTATCAGCTAAGCCTTGGCCTTACTACCATTATTAAGCCGACCTGGTTCTCACCTGGGCATGATGTTCTCCTTTTGGGTATGAACAGTTTCACAGACCATCAATATCAGACAAGGCCACAATGTGTGACCATGAAGAGTCAAGAAAGATTTAAAAAAAAAACCCTTAACAAAAACAAAGACAACTCCATAGCTGTAGCTGAACAAAGACATACCATGAGTATTACTGTCACAAAAATGACTAAATATCATCCTCCACCAGACAAGAATAAGGGTTCCTTCTTCATCAATTACAGGATTAGCCTGGTTCTAGTCTGTCCTCTTTATAAATAAGACCTATTAACATACAAATCATGGAATTACCTCTACTTCCTGACAGCATCTAATCTTCATCACAGCCTCAAATCCTTAACTCTCTCCCAAAATAACTTTACACAGGCCAAATCCTATAATAACTTCTTTCAAAATCCCTCTTACTGAGATATCCCACGGTCCCCCCATGATGTGTGTTCTCAATTAATAATAAAATCAAATGTGTTCAATTACAGATATTCCTGTGGTGTTTAGCTAGAGACAGAGACAACCATGTACTGAGAACCAAAGGACCCAGAATTCATAAAACTACTCATATTTTTACTCAACTCATTACCTTTGAGGCAAAACCAACTCCTAGCTGACATTCCAAAGGGTCTTCTGAGCCTGTAAGTTACATTAGAATAGAATGCCCATCTTTCTCCCAGAGTCAACAGGAGATTGGAACCAGCTCACAGGCACTGTATTTGGGTTAGCAGTACAGCTCGCTATGAACTAGGCCACCAGTACTCCCAGATTCATATTCAACTTTTTAAATATTATAGCATATTCTTGTTGTTGTTGTTGTTACTGTTAGATGCCATGGAGTTGGCTACCCTGTGTACAACAGGAAGAAATCCTGCTCAAACCTGCACCTTTCTCACAATCTCTACTGTGCTTAAGCTCACAGTTGCAGTAACTTTGTCAATCAAGCTCATTGAAGGTCTTCCTTTCTTCCACTAGAAACCAACAATCCTGGCATGAACATTAAGAGGTGAAGATCCTAAATGGGCAGACACAATTGGATTAAAAGGAGAAATTCTAACAGGCCTAAAAAACCTGCTTAGATTTTTTTAGAAATGTGTAGACATAAATTAAAGCTTTCACTGGACCAACAACATGATAGATTAGCTTCCTTTTGGTTTTAAGTCTGAGAGTTGAAGTGCGGAGTTAAATGTAGGATTTCATCAGATCCAGATACTTTCTTTTTTAATTAAACACTCCAACACTTTCAATTCAAGGGCAAAACTTTTTATGATGAAGCAATAATTTCTACCCATTACAAAAGGAATAGCTAAAGTCCTAAGAAAATTGCATTGCAGACTGTGTCTTGATTAAATAAAAATATCTCAGTTCATGTTTTGTTAAAGAAAAGTCCATTATTGACAAGTTTTCTCTATATCATATCACAGCTTTGGAATTTTTGAAATATTGATGAAATAAGGAAGTCTTGCTGGCATCATGCATTTAGAGGACTAAAGAATTACCTTATTTACAAAGTATGACTAAATCAGAACTACGAATCATAATAAGTATTTAATAAAAATTGATTTTTAAATGCAGGATACTTTAGAATGCCAGAAAAATCAATCATATCATTTCTTGATGTTTCAAGTGTTCTCCATAAACAAAACTCAATTATTTTTAATGCAAACCGTATCTTCCTGTTCTATTTTAGCATCATGTCACAATTCCATTTCTTTTTCGTTATACCCTTGTATATCTGGAAAATAAGCATGTGTCCATGGTATCTCCCAGATGTCAGCTGCCTTCAGTACTCAATCATCAATGGCCTCCGAGGTGCGAGAAAGCTCCCTAAACACACAGGTACTGGACATCTTACAATCCAGCTCATCTCTTCTTTTACTTCTATTTGATCTGCAGTCTCTGCACAAAGAATGTCTCTCAAGAGTCCCTAATCTCAAATGCCCCATTAAATCTTCATTCTTATGAAAATAAACAATATAATTGGCAATTTAGGCGGAAAAAAAACAATTCTACTCACCACATTTTTTCCCTCATTTTGAGCATCTCGGTAATCAGGATTAAGCTAAAAACAAAACAAAAAGGAAATTTTGAATTGTATTAGAAATATATTAACATCACTAATGGTCTTTCATTCTGTTCACTACACTATCCTTCCATGGGGGGAGGGGAGCTAAGGGAAGCAGAGGGATGTGGATGTGCAGGGGGAGAGGGAGATTAATCATCAGGTTGTAAAATTTGATGGGTGGGAGGGTGAGGGAAATGGAAAGAATTTGTTTTAATTTATATTTGAATTTTGTAAACAAACTAGTTGGGGGGGGAAGCTAAGAAGAAAACTATTAGAATACATAATCATTTAAAACTCTATTTCCAGAACACAAAAGCTGAAATGTCACATTTAGGACCTGCATTTTAAAGCATAATTGTTGACATTTTTTAACAAATGAGAAGTGACAGTCTCAAGTCCTCTGGGGAAGCATTCAAGAGAGTTCATTTTCCCTACTACAAAATCTGCCATTTACCAATAATTCAGACACCATTTTAAAAATAAAGATCAAAGGCAAGTTTTTAACGATGATTCAAGATCATGTTCCACATGTTATTCATACAAGGAAAAGAAATAGAGTGAAGAAAGAGCAGTAGACCATCGAGTTGGCGCATACATGAAGACAACGGAAATCAATAAACAAAAGCACATGTTGTGCGGCTTTAGAGGTAGTATGGAGCTGAGGAATTATTCAAATGAGAATAAAAATGAATTCCAAATATGTTAGGTATTGGCCCACACATCATCCAGCAGTCAGAATTCATAACTGCTGACTTCTATCTAACAGACAAGTGTCAAAAGAGGTCTTAGTTGATTGAAAAATTGCTGGTTGAATAATGTGTGAAACAACAGATTTCTAATGTGTTTTTCTAAAAAAAAATCATTTTCCCTGTTGAATTTAAGAATTTTTTTTATTTTAATCACTTCGTTTTTAAAACATGTAAATCCCAGTAGTTAAATGTATCACTTAAAATACAAGGCAGAGATTCTTTCTCAAAATAACATCCAGTCTAAAAGCTCGGAGAATTGCGATTCCCAATTTATGAAATAAATAATGAATTTAAATAATGAAAGTGTTAGAGGGGGGAACACTAAAATAAAATCAAAATCATCCAAAATTGCTAACTAAGGCTAATACATGTGCATGCATGGGTGCACGCACACACACACATACACACACCCTAAATCTTCAATGAATCAACACAAATTATAAAGCAGACAGCACTCGAGGAAGGTGCGGACATCTATACAGTTTTCATCTCATACCTACCTTGACTTTTCCCTAACAGCCACCTGTAATTATTACAAAACCAAAACCACTGCCAAAGAATTCATGTAGACCCCTGAGAACCCTCCATTGGGTTTCTGAGGCTCTAAATCATAGTACAGATAGTCTTATCCACCCAAGGAGCAACTAGAAGGTTCAAATTTGTGACCTTTTGTTTAACAGCCCAATATGTAAACTGCTTTGCTACATGGTTCCCATTATCTGTCCACAAACTCAGGGACACATGGTATATGCCAGTCAAAAAGCTACACAGTCATTCTCCACCATGTTACTGTTTTATGCAGCAGAAAATTGTTCCTTACCGTCCTCCCCATCCACTGCCTTACTACCTCCCTCTATCTTCTCACAAGAGAGATCGTAACTTTCAGGAAACAACAGTGCTAAAAGTCGAGGAACAGAAGATGGAAGAAACTTCTGAGAAGAACTGAGTGTAGAAAAGAAAGTAAAGAGAAAGAAGTATGAATACTGTGAATGCTAGTATTAACACAGTCTAATAACACTGGAACAGAAAAAGGTGTAGGAGACTGAAACAACGGCAACAGGGCACAGGTACAAGACTTGACATCTGCTAGGACTGGAAACTGCTCTGGGCATGTGTTCATCAGTCTGCCCCACAGCTGAAGATTGAGAAAGAAGATTTAATTGTCATAGTTGAAAACGAAAAATGGAACAAAAGGACAATCCGCTCAACCCATCTGGTTCTGGACAGAGCTCATTCATCTGAGGATAATAAGAAGGAAAATAAAAAAATGGAGCTACTGGAAAATATGTTAGAACAAGAATAGTTTCTTTCCCTGTGTCTTTTAAAAAAAAATATTTCCAGAAAAAAATAAAGAAATAATACATTTCCAGGAAATGGTTTGTCATATTTGAGAAAATCCAAGTAAATGGTACCTCTCTATAAAGGTAACAGACTAAGATAAATAGACAAAAAGAAATATATAAGTAATACAAGAACTACTAATAAGAAAGTGCCCTGGAACATTGCTATAAGAACAAAAACAAGATCAAAATGAAAGTTCATTTTGGAAACAATAAAAAAGTATAGTGGATATTACAGAAAATTAGTGATGCAAAAGATAGAAACTTAAAGAGATAACCCTCAGGATGGAGGGAAAGTATAAACAAATAAGAATTAAGAAAAAGGAAACAGCCATGAGAGGAGTATCAAGTAATGGGCTACTATTCTATCTGTGTATCAGTCTGTCTGTCTGTCTGTCTCTCTTTCTTTCATTACCTTCAAGAAGGTAATCATAGGTGCACACAAATAGATGGTCCATCGTTCTCCTTCAGAGTAACTCATGAATTCAAGCATAAGGAGGGGTGCTGTCTTTGGGTTAATAACACAAATCCCTAGGAACTATGCCACCAGAGCTCCCAGTTTAAAAACAAAATAAGAGTTAATAACATATGCAATTTTCCTCAGTTGCAAAGAGGCCACCATGCTGTGAGAATGACAAGAGAATGACAACACAGTCATAAGAAGTGTACTAGGGGGAAGTGTGGGGAAACGGAAATGAAACTTAAATAAAAAATGTATAAACAAACGGTGGTATAGGCCTACAATGAGATACTGCCCAGCAATAAAAATGAGGAATAAATGATAAAACAGAGAAGAGCTTCAAAAGCATTGTATTAAGAAGCCATTCTAGTAAGAAGCCAGCAGAAAAGAAAGTGCATGGTATGATTCCATTTATTTGATAGCTAAGTAGGGATAAAACAATGGTAATATAAAACAGAAAGTGAGTCCCAGAGTCAAGGAGGAATGCAGTTTTGACAGAAAAGGGACAAATAGCAGCTTCCAGGGTGATGGAAGGCTCTAAATAATTTTGGAGGTAGTTGTTCATAATCTGTCGTTGTTAGGTTCACTGAAGTCACCCTGTGGCATAGTGACTCAAAGTACAAAAGAATGATGCTGTGTCAGCTTTACAGTCTATGCTGTGCTTTAAGAGTTCCTTGTGTTTATACGTTAAATGCAAATGTAAATGACTCAAAGCAACCCTGTAAACAACAGATTGAAGCCTTGCCTTATTCTGTACCACCTCCACCACGCTCGAGCTCCATGATCAGTCACTGTCATCAATTTACCTTGGTGAGGTCTTCCTATCTTTAGCTGGTCCTCCACTTTCCCTGTCTTCTCCCAAGGACAGGTGCCTCTTTCCAATATATCCAAAGTATGTGAGACTACATTTCACCATCCTTGCCTCCAAGCAGCACCTCAGTTTTACTTTCACGAAGACAGATTTATTTGTCCTTTCGGTAGTCAATATTCCTCATCAACACCACAATTCGACTGTGTCAATTCTTCTTTAGTCTTCCTTATTTAGTGTCCAACCTTCACAGGCACATAAATTAACTGAAAAAGCCATAGCTTGTGTCAGATGCACCTTAGTCTTTAAACTGACATTGCTGCTTTTTCTTGTTGTTTGTTATTATGTGCCGTCGAGTTGCTTGTGACTCATAGTGACCCTATGTACAACAGCCCTAAACCCTGCTCTATCCTGTGCCAATCTCATTGCCTCTGACTCATCCATCCCGATTACCCCAGTCACTGAATCAATCCACCTCATAGAGGGTCTTCCCCTCCTGCGCTGTCCCTCCACTCTGCCCAGCATGATGTCCCTCTCCAAAGACCTGTCTCTCCTTACAACATGTCCAAAGTATGTCAGACGAAGCCCCAGAATCCTTACCTCCAAGGAGCAGCCTGGTTTAACCCTCGCTACGATGAGTCTGTTTGTTTTCTTGGCAGTCCATGGTACATTCAGTACTCTTCTCCAGCACCACAGTTCAAAGGCGTCAATTCTCCTTCTATCCTCCCTAGTCATTGTCCAACTCTCTGATGCATAACAAGTGATTGCAAAAACCATGGCCTGTATCAGGCGCACCTTAGTCTCCAGAGAGACACCGTTACTCTTGAGAACTTTAGAGAGGTCCCTAACCACAGACTTTCCCATCGCAAAATGTTTTTTGATTTCCTGGCTACCGGTGCCAAGAGTGTTGACTGTGGAGCTGAGCAAACTGAAGCTGTGAACAATCTCAATCCCTTCACCATCCATCCTGATGCTACCGATTGGTCCATTGGTGAGAATTTTTGTCTTCTGGATATTGAGCCTCAGTCCATATTGAAGGCTGCAGTCCTTGACCCTCTGCAGTAAGTGCATGAGGTCCTCATCAGTTTTCATGAGCAGGGTTGTGTCATCTGCATAACGCAGATTGTTGATAGATCGTCCACCAATCCTAACACCATGCTTCTCCTCATAGAGCCCTGCCTCTCGGATAATCTGCTCTGCATACAGGTTGAAAAGGTAAGGAGACAGGATGCATCCCTGGCATACACCCTTCCCAATTCTGAACCATGCAGTGTTGCCCTGCTCTGTTCTGACGACTGTCTCTTGGTCCAAGGATAGGTTTCGCATTAGCACGATTAAATGTTCTGGGATTCCCATTCTTCTCAGAGTCAGCCACAGTTTGTTATGAACCACGCAGTCAAATGCCTTTCCATAATCAATGAAACACAGATAGACATTCTTCTGGTATTCTCTGCTTTCAGCTAAGATCCATCTAACATCAATGCACCATATAGGTCCTTTAATTTCTTCACTTCTGTACCATGGATGCTGACTGTGGATCCAAGTAAAATAAAGTTGTTGACAACTTCAGTATTTTCTCCATCTATCAAGATTGTACCTATTGATCCAGCTGCGAGGATTTTTTTTCTTCTTGATATTGA